TGTAAACCAAACCAACCAACTCCATAAAGATATACTTTCCACAGAATGGGGTGTGTGTGTGTTATAAACTCAGCCTTGGGTTAGATATTCCTAACATGTTATTTCAATTAGATTTTTTTTAATTATTTTTATATGCTTGTTGACTTTAAAATGTGTCCTCAGGGCAATCCATGGCATCTTATAATAAATGATCTCTGGCTTGCAAGTGACCAAAACAAGTGTTGTTCATCCATAAGCATTATCACTACATAATCATCATTTCCTTCAAATAGAAAGTAAACTTTGAATTCCAAATAATCAATTAATAATGAAGTATATGATGAGTTGTGCCAACTGCCTACTTTTTTTGCTCCTTACCTTGGCCATGTGTAACTTGCATGAATAATGTATTCATATATGCTTGTTATCAAATATTTGTCATGCTATCTTACAGGTTATATAAGGTAATTAAACTTGACATTTAGTATTAGTAAAATAATAGTCATATGAAATATTTAAAGTCTTTGAGTAAAAAAGTAATGCTGGTGAACACAAAAGGGCTGTTTGTTGCCTTTTATGGTAACTTTGATGATTTATAAATATTGTATCTCCAGAGTCACAGGACCATTCCCCTCTTTCAGACAAAATACTATCAAACAATACGCCCATAGCTCCAGGCTCTCATGTTTGTCTCACACTATAAAAACAATTTTTACGTTTGAAGTACTAACACATAGATTTCCTCCCTTCAGAAAATCAAATTAGAATGCAGAGTATTAGCCACAGTGGCTGCCAAAATGCCAGACCCCTTCCCCAAATGAAAGGTTCCTCTAGAGCAGTGGTTCAAACCTTCCTAATGCTTCAGCCCTTTAATGCAGTTCCTCATGATTTGGTGGCCCCTAACCTTAAAATTAGTTCATGTTGTGTTGAACCCCAGCCTTAAAATTATTGCAATGCTACTTCATAACTGTAATTTTGCTACTGTTATGAATCATAATGTAAATATTCTGTGTTTTCCAGTGGTCTTCAGCAACCCCTGTGATAGGATCATTTCTCTGCCCCCCCCAAAGGGGTCATGACCCACAAGTTGAGAACCACTGCCCTAGGGGCTCCTAAATGGACTTTGATATTCCTTCCACCTAGTCTACAGGGTCTCCCAGGAACATGAGGTGGAGTCAGGAACAAGTAAACTTACAACAGATTCTAGTGACCGTGGCTCCTTAGGGGAGGATGGCAGTGGAGCTTTGGAGACACGCTTCTTTAATCCCAGCGCTAGATCTGCGTAGACAGTTCAGGGCCAGCCAGGCTGCATAGTGAACAAAAAGACACTTGAGTTTGCCTTCACTTTTGCTCCCCCCTTGACTGGGGAGGGGCTGCAGACGGAGGCAGGCACGGTGCAGAGGTCATCGTCGTCGTCCATTCAGAGTGCTGTCGGGTCTTCTGCAGCTGGCTTCCTTTAGCTGTTCATGCCTTAAGAGAACTATTGGCCAAACCTCATCTTCAGACAGTGGGACACTCACCCCAAACACCCTCTGGTCCTCTAAGCATCCCATTGGTGTTCGTATAGTTCACAAAGCTTCACAAATGGAAGGTAAAAATGTCCACATAGGAGAAAATTTCATACTGAGGACTAACTCTTTCAGTGTTTGTGTTAAAAACTGCTTTTTTAATCTGTGCTGATAGTCCTGTAATTGTACACCTTGCCAACCAGTGCCACATTGTCTCACCTAAGGGAAAACTGAATTATCACTGGATGCTGAGGAGTTTTCCCATCGCTCCAATGGTTACATACATAGTTATAGGAGATTTGCTTCATAATTGACCTCGACCAGGCAGCGGTAGTGCATACCTTTAATCCCAGCACTCGGGAGGCAGAGGCAGGCAGATCTCTGTGAGTTCGAGGCCAGCCTGGTCTACAGAGTGAGTTCCAAGAACAGGAACCAAAACTACACAGAGAAACCCTGTCTCGAAAAAAAGAAAAAGTATTTTTGATCAACCATCATATTTCACTATCAGGAAATATGCTTTGGGTGTCCAGTGACAAATGGTCAGCCCTGAAAATATACACACAAGTAGCATTATATAGACTCAACAGGTTGTATTTTGGGGATATATGTATAAACAAATATATATGTGCATGAAGTTGAAATTTCTCTTTAATTTCAGCAAGAAGAAATTAAAACTTAAAAGTGGATATATCATTTAATTATCCCTAGTTCAGAGTTGATCAGAACACAAATATAGACGTGCTTGAAAATAATTTTAAAACAAATATATATGTGCATGAAGTTGAAATTTCTCTTTAATTTCAGCAAGAAGAAATTAAAACTTAAAAGTGGATATATCATTTAATTATCCCTAGTTCAGAGTTGATCAGAACACAAATATAGACGTGCTTGAAAATAATTTTAAAACTTTATACTGAGGCCTAAATAAACCTTTTATTTTTTGTTAAGTATCTACTCTAATTGGTGCTGAAGATCCTGTAATTCTTGACAACCAATACTGTTTGTCTCACCTAAGGGTAAACTAAAGGGAAAATGTTACTGTGGATGAGAATAAAGGAACTGAGGTATTTTCAGTTACTTTAGGTATTTTTGGTTTTTTTGAGAGTGTCCTGCTACATAGTTATGACCAGGTTTGAACTCAGGATCCTCCTGACAGATCCTGCAGAGTGCTGGTCTGACCACTGTCCCTCTCAGACTTGATGACTCCGCCATTCTTCCCCCTTCCTCCTCTTCCTTACTGCCTCTCTCCCTCTCTGCCCACTCTTCCATCCTTTCTGAGGTGTTTTTTTTTTTGGGGGGGGGGGGTTGAAACAGGGTCTTACTTGAGTACCCAGGCTAGCCTAGAACTCATGATGATCCACCTGCCTCAGCCTCCTGAGGGCTGGAATTAGTCATGCACTACCACACTTGGTGACATTATCTTAAAAAGCAAATGCACTCCATGCTGTTTCTGGTTCTGGTCAGCACTAGCTAACCTTATTCTCAAATAAGATGAAATAGTTGGTTTTTGTTTTAACTGTGTTAATTCTTTCTACAGCTTTAGGAGGGTATACCATCATAAGATTATTTGCCAATGAATTATTTTCACATTTTATCACAAACTTACAACTGGATTTGCTTCCTAGCTTTGAATCATTTGCTCATTTTCTATAATAGCAGGAAGATTTGACGAATTCCTATTCCTCAGTAGGCTAATGGTGCCAGCTAACGGTACCGTCTTGAGCCTTTTTCCTCTCTTTTGACGTACGTGTGTGTGTGTGTGTGTGTGTGTGTGTGTGTGTATAAAATTTTGTTACTAGGATGTAGAAAGTATTGCCATTTTATAAAATAATTATAAACTGAAAATTTTCACAGCTAGTTGAGAAAAGTAGGTGTACCTATCTTGGCAGACCTAACTGTATATAATCTATAAGGAAACATAAAATCTAAATGTCCTTTGTGAGTGTGTCTAGAATGTGATGAGTTGAAGCTTCACAAGACTCAGTGCCACTGCTGAGAACTACCTTAGCTATTGAGAAATCCCAGCTAACAACGCCCTAAGAATGATATTTGAGAACGCTCCTGGCTGGTAGTTAGGAGTGCAGTTCATGAAGACATCACAAGAAAATGTCGCCCACTTCATCTGTGGTTAGATAGCTGGCTAGGCTTTCAGGTTAGAACCCACACACTTCAGGTCACATGCTTCACACCTCCTAAAAACCCAGGGAAACAGGGAAACTTGGGAAACCTGCTTTGTTTTTGTGTCTCTTTGGTTTACGTTGTGCCTGGAGAGTAATAGAGAAGGAATACGCCCTTTTCTCCCTTTCCATATAAGAAAGTGAGACCAAAGGATCCTGTGAAAAATAAATCATGAGAAGAACCCTCCAATGCCAAGAAAGCACATAGATGATCTTGAACTGGAACCAAAAGTTTCTGGCTTACCTCTGCAGAGAACCCTCATATACTTCTAGATCAGTGACTCCAATCTGATGGTGACCAACATGAGTGAAATCATACAGTACAGGAGAGGCTAAGTGATGTGGTGTTGACCAGCATGGATTAAATGATACAATTCCCAGTGTACAAGAAATGCTAAATGATTTCTTATTGGCTGTATTAAAAAGCTGAGAAGTTAGTGACAGCTATATCTGTATCATTAGTTCTCAAGTCTTACAGGATTCACCCTAAGAAGGTCAGTTCTACTATTCAGGGTCCATTCCTGGTCTACTAGGAAGGGGCACTTTACAGAACTAGCCTGAAGTCTATATGAAGTCTAGCTTAGGAGACTTGACTCTTGTGAACTCATTAGTCACAGCATGGAGTAGATGATGTCCTCTACAGCCAGTGGAGGAAACAGGAACCATGGAGCAGTAGTGCTGCCTTAGAGGTCCCAGAGCATCCTGGGTCACCATTCCAAAGGGAGCACAGTCTGGTTCTCTTAAACCTTTGAACTCAAGAAAGTCCCTGCCATAACACCATGATTAAACTAAATGCCTATTGAAGCAGAAGCCAAGAAGGAATAGCTTTGTTCTGAAAAGCAGTTTTACCAATTTGATGCCTTTGACTCATATAAGATGATGTCTAACTCCGGATGATTACTAAGTTAGCTTTCTAGGTAATCACACAACTAAATTGAAAGGCTGGTGTGTGTGGGAATGACTCAGAGTCAAGGTATGACTTTAAATGTCATGATAGGTAACTAGACAACTAAGATATGTTTTCCCTTCATTTATCATTAGTGAGAAACAGTTCTTTCAAATCTCTTCCTTTTTCCGAGTTGTGTAAAGTGGAATGAAGTATGGCTCTGAAGCTTAAAGGGGACTTGGAGAATTTCATACATTTATAGCACTTGAACTCTATAAAGCAAGTACTTAATAGATTGCAAAAATAAGTAGAATACATTTTTAGCTTTCAAGTATGTGCCCTGCAGTTTCAAGAAGGATCATATGTTCTATTAAGATAAATAAATCCTTAGAAAAACTTTAAAACAAGTTGATGATAAATAGCTTTTTATAGAGAGTGTGTTTCTTTCAGTAAAAGATGATGAGTGCGACTCAGATGCAGAAAATGAGCAAAACCATGATCCTAATGTGGAAGAGTTCCTGCAGCAACAAGACACAGCCATCATTTATCCTGAGGCGCCTGAGGAGGACCAGCGGCAGGGCACGCCAGAAGCCAGCGGCCAAGATGAAAACGGTGAGTACGGCTTAGCATGTGGCTTTCTTCCTCAGGTTAAAGGGTTGTTAGTTCTGTTACTCTATCACGGGAATATAGTCCTATAAAGGGAACTCCGGTGAGAACCAGTCATGGGTACTCGAGAATCAGTACAACGTTGAGTTGGTGACTGCTCTTGGATGTACTGACACACCAGGCTCTGTCACACCAGGCTCTGTCTTCTGCACTACCTGGTCACTTCCTGTTGAGATGCTGCTGCTGCTGCTGCTGCTGCCAGAAGAGAGGCAGACTTTGACCATTCTGTCCTTGGATAATTTGTTAATATTCTTCTAGTGAGTGAAATATGGTGGTCTGGTGGAAAGTATACAAACTTGGGAGCAGTAGTTTCTCTGGATGTGCTTTAGTCCACTTCAGGGGAGTTCTCAGTGAGTAAAGAAGGGTGAAAATACAATAAAAACACATGTTCAAAACTCCTACCCAGAAACAGACTGCCAGTCTCTCCTTCCAAGAATGATAATCAAATGCCAATGACATGTAAATGTCCCTATAGTTAATTTGATGTCATATCTGTCCTGAGACTAGGAAGTTCTTAAAATTTTCAAGGATTCATCGAGTGTTAATTTCCTAAATTCTTCTTAAATTTTCCAGGGTTCTCCGTTGAGTGGATAGACTTAGCTTAATATTCAAAAAATCAACTTTGAACTTTTTTGAGGAAGTTGAGAAAAGATGGCATGAAGAAAGAAAACAGCCAAGATGTAGCTCAGTTGGTAGAGTGCTTGCCTGGCATGCACCAAGCCTTGAGTTCAATCCTTAGCATGAAATAAACTGAGTGTAGTGGCACACACCTGTAATCCCCACACTTAGGAGATGGAGGCAGGGAGATCAGAAATTCAGGGCCATCCTTAACTACATAGTAAGCTGGAGGCCAACCTGAGCTACGTGAGATCTTATCACAAAGATCTTAAAACAAAGAATGAAGAAAATAGATGCTGTAGTCAAGCATAAAGACTTGTATCTTGTTGAATCAAGAATCAACTCTATCTTTGTTAAATCAAGAATCAACTCTAAGAAAAGAGCAGGACAAGAACCAAGTGTGGTAGTGTACACATAATTCCAGCACCAGCTGGAGCTAGGGGGATCATGAGTTCAAAGCCAGCTGTGCTTCCTCGTAAGGTTCTGTCTTGGGAGGGGCATAGAGAAGAAACATGGTTCAGTCTAGAATGGACTGGATTTCCTGTAACGAAATCTGTGATAAAGGAAGTAAGCATAGAACATTCAAGGACTGCTCCTCTAGCATGCTAAGCAGGTGGATTTGAAGAATGTAGATGCCAACTCAAGGGTCTCTGTGATTCAGTTGAATAATTAGTGCTTTGTGCTCTGTTAGGGCACTTAGAGAACTCATAGTTGCTATTGTTGTATTACTGGAAGACTACTGTTTCTACTTTCAATTCCTGGCTATTTGTTTCTAATATGTTTTCATTTCACTCAAAGATGCAGGAGGTTATAACAGAAATGAAAGAGAAATGGAAAAAAGTTAAACATATATGTAAAACTTTTATATAACAAATAATTTTTTAAAAAAAAAGCCTTGATAAAAAAAATACAAACATACAGGTTTGTTCCGTCAATCAACCCAGCATGTTCAGCCTTAAGAACTTGTCGTTGCCAGTCAGTACAGTAAACCGGGGAGAGGGGGAACTAACTTCTCTGAAGTAGTAGATATTTGAATTGTAGAGTATGTATCCAAACAACCATAGCCACCGTGATTTCATGAGAGCAGTGGCCGTGGCATATGAGAAGACAGCATTTCAGAGCACTTCTCCCTGTCCTGCACCGCTCACATCCTTCAACCTTCCTTCCCACATTGCTCCCTGAACTTTGGGAGAATCAGTATTAACGTACTGATTTGGGTTGAGCATTCAACAGTCAGTTATTCCTGGCACTTTGACCATTTGTGAATCTGCCTTACTGCTGCCCACCGCAGAAAGCAGCCTCTTCAACCAAGGTTGAAAGCAGCACTAATCCATGGTCTAAGCAGAAGTGTCCAGAAGGCAGCTTGACAGCATGACTGTTTAGCAAGATAGTGGTAGCAGGTTCCCACCCAGCACCCGTGACTTCCCCACCAGAGGCTTTTGACCAGGCCAGCAGTATCAGACGTGAATCCCTCCTGTGGAGCAGGCCTCCAAAAGCTATTGGCTGTCCCCAAAGCAGTCATGCCACTATTCCAGTGGGCACAGTGTTCCTGGCAGGTCAGTGTTATAATAGGTAGGGTCTACCAGAGGTAAGTTGATTGACAGTTGTCCCTCCCTAGTGACCCTACATAGCACCTTCCAGCACTAGAAAAGCTAGCCAGCAGGAACCTTCCCAGTAAGTTTGAGATTGATTTTTGTATGTCCTGAAAAAAAGTGCATGGTGTCTTCAGGAACAGGGCCTGGCCATCTAGTTCTGATGAGCAACCAGGAGTAATGACAATAGCCTGTATTTTGGGGGCTCCTGGGGGCTCCCTGACCAGTAATGCTTCAACCCCTAGCACTAAGGTCCATTTAATATCCATATCTTCTGAGGAAGCATTGTCCACCTGGGCAGGCTACCGCCATTCAGACTCCTTTTTAAAATTATATTTTTATTAAGTAGCTTATAAAGCAGTAGGATTCCACAAGACTTTTTCATACATTCATAGTTTTGATCAACCCACCCTAGCTCTTATTCTATGATTCTTAAAACACATTCACATTTACTTTTTACTGTATTTTGCTAGCGACTGTAAAGAAGAAATCCATACTTCATGTTTAAGAGAATCCAATATACTGATTTATGAAAATAAGTTGCTATTCAAATAGCATAACCTTCTGTCATTTTCCCCACTCCTTAACAGTTTGCTTACTAACTGTACAGTCTAATCATGAAGACAAACTGTAGCACATAATGAGCACACATAGCTCCTTGGCACCCGGGGAAGAGCAGTTCAGTTAATGGAACCATGGGCCATTGCCATGCCGGCAAACACCACAAGCATCAGATCTTGCCTTTTGGCATGATCACTACTAGAATCAGTCAGGTGCACTAGGTGTTCTGGCAAGGGGGAAGCGCCAAAATGCTGGTTTCCCATTGGCCTGTACAAAACATAACATGCCGGGCGGTGGTGGCGCACGCCTTTAATCCCAGCACTTGGGAGGCAGAGGCAGGCGAATCTCTGTGAGTTCGAGGCCAGCCTGGACTACCAAGTGAGTTCCAGGAAAGGCGCAAGGCTACACAGAGAAACCCTGTCTCGAAAAACAAAACATAACATGGTTTTCTCCAAAAGGAGAGTCTATATTAGAATGATCCTTAACCAAACTCTCTGGATCAAGTGCTTTGCTAGCTAGCAGCTAAAGATGCTGCAGTGAACTTTGGAGCTCTGGTTATTTGATTTTTACTCACATATTTGTAGATATTTCAACATACTAGTCATTTAGAGTTCAGGTTTTCAGTCTCTCATCTGCAGGCTTGTCTTTAAGTAAGACGTGTAGTTTACATGGACTCGACCTCCAGTAAAGCAGTATGTGTGTATAATAAAACATCTAAGAGTATTATCAAACTACCTTAGGTCGCCTATTTCTATGAAGAATTTAAAATTAAAGAAAGTAGAGAGTATACTTACAGTAAGATGTCACTTATGAACTAATTTCTTTTTAAAAAATAAAATAAAATATGGGAAACTACTCAGAGTAGTATTAATTGGCAGAGTATTCCCATTTAGGATTCTCAGTCATGGTGCTCCAAGGTCTGAACTCAATCATGTGACCACACCTGACTACAGGGCACCTTGGAAACTGTACTGCATATTTATGGCAGTAACTTACAGTGTCGTTTTCAAGTGAAAAGGAGTTCATGCTAAGTAAGCAATGGAATTGTCATGAGCAGACTCTGCACGGAGCTCCCACACAGTGTGCGTGTGCTTACCCGTGTGACTCCATCCTAATTACACGTGTGTCTCTTCAGTTAGCCGCACACACCAAGGGAAGAAATGGTTCTGAAACAGGGGATTCAAAAGCTGGGTGAATGCTGAATTAATCGTTTGCTTTCTGTGTAACTTTCAAGCTACTTACCTTGTATTTATTGCCACACTTTTTTTCCTTCATAAATGGAAGTCCGTCGTTTGAGGGCAGATGTAAAGTGAGCGGCTCTACCACTATGTGGCCCAGGGAATTCGGTGGTAGCTGACCATATTGCTTGGATGCTTTAAGTTACAGTGTCCCTTCGCTTCCCAGGAACACCAGATGCATTTTCCCAGTTGCTCACCTGCCCGTATTGTGACAGAGGCTACAAGCGCTTTACCTCTCTGAAAGAACACATTAAGTACCGCCATGAGAAGAACGAGGACAATTTCAGCTGCTCCCTGTGCAGTTACACCTTTGCCTACAGGACCCAGCTTGAACGCCACATGACATCACATAAGTCAGGAAGAGAGCAAGTAAGTGAGAGAAGCAGGGCTGCCACCCTCCCACTCCTGGGGGCTTTGGGAAAGGCGGCCCTTGGGCACTTAGAGACCATGCGCGGAAGCTGTCTTGTGTGCAGGTTTACAGACGTGACAGGGGTGGTTAGTGAGTTTTCTTCTCAGGTAAGGGCCTTGCCATCCTAACTTGTTTTGCATAAACCATACCAAGTATCCCTCTGAGTCAGAGAGACCACAGGGTATGTTCTAGCAACATGTTTTCTGTAGGAAAAGAAATACTGGTCTTTAAACCACTTGACTTTGGCACTAACCAAATCAAGGGGAGGCTTCAATTTTTTAATTTTCCTGGAGGTAGTGACTACTAAGTATAAGGTACTATGGTTTGTCTGCAGTAGAAAAGGAAGTTGCCTCCTCTATAAAGTCTGAGAATTTGTAGCCCGAAGACTCAACTTGGATGGCTTAGTCTAATTCTGTCACTGTACACATTTTCTAGAAGTATAAACTGAGTGTTTTTACGATAAATTACATTTAAAGTGTTGGCTTTCTAGTTAAGATTAAAATCAAAGCATCATTAGTAATTGGTTTTTTGTTTATTTTTTTTATAACGTCCTGGTTGGGAACTGTCAGCTACCGGCCAGCCAGCTAATACCTGTTTGATATACTCTTTACAAACCAAGTACCAGTGTAGCGGTGCTGTGGTCAGTAACCAAGTACCAGTGTAGCGGTGCTGTGGCGGAGGTCTGAGTTTCAGCCCGTATCCAGCTCCTCACGTCACAGGATCATGAACACACACCTGGGAATTTGTGAGAACTCTGGGAAGGGGCCTTCTGTAAGGCACCTGTCCCACAGGAGTCTTCATGCCTTTGCTCAGTTGAAGGATAACCTCTATAAAAAAGTCAACAGAAAGAAGAAACAGCAAACCTGTTTGCTCAGGACTTTGACATCACTCACAAAATCTGGTAATAAGGAGAGAGTGGGACTGAAGGAGAGGACCAGGGTTTGCAGCGGTGACCTAATGGTGAAGTCTGAGAGGGGCTATTGAAAGTGGAAGAGGGGCTAGCCTGGAAGGAGCTCCTGGGGAAATGGCCGCCTGCTCCTGGGCCTTGCTGAGGAGGCCTACCGGGAACAGCCCCATAGAGTACTCTTTGCATTAGAGGCTGGTGCAGCCACAGCATAGATGAGGCTTAGGGAGAAGATGTCCATGTGACTTTTGAAAGTAGACCTACTCTGCAACAACTGCCACCATCTTGGCTCAGTAGTGAAGGCCCTTGCCAAAGAGTAGACAGACATCAAAGCTGAAATTACTCTATAAAAACAAACTCTTAAAATCTGCAATGACCATGATAACCACTTTTGTGAGGATTTTTCTGGTGGGTGTGAACTAAATGGAGCTGTGATGAGGGTTGGGGGGCAGTGTGAGAAAAGATGGCTGAGGGGTCTTGGAAACCATTCAGGAATGTTGGTCTTTCAGGCCTTTGAAGTCATACTATGACTAAGGGATGAGCATTTCCATGTCTTAGAGAGGTATGTGCTCGATACATATTTCCATTTCTGTTATATGTCAGACCCTATTCCAGGTAATAAGGACCCAAAAAGGAAGAGGACAAAGTCCTAACAACAGGGAGCACACACAGCTGATACAAATGAAACTAAAATGAAAAAAATTAAAAGTATATTCAAAATCCTCAGATTAAGGCACATTTTAGACACATCAAACATACACGAGCTATGCCATCCTACTGAAATGGGCCTGGTACTCCAGTCAGGTCCTTGTTCTGTTGGCAAATCTCTATAGACAGCCTGCCTTCTTTATCTAGATTAGAATGCAGACAGGACCATCCCTAGATCCTGGTAAAACATATACCACTCTACTTTGGGTAAATATTCTGTATTTGTGACTGCTACAATTTCAGGCCTCTAACAGACGAAGAAATCATCAAACTCACCTGGAATATAAGACATAAAACATCAATTCTTTCTTGCAGAGACATGTGACGCAGTCTGGGGGTAATCGTAAATTCAAGTGCACTGAATGTGGAAAAGCTTTCAAATACAAACACCACCTAAAAGAGCACTTACGGATTCACAGTGGTGAGTATGTGCCTTCTTCCTGCATCTTATGCAACCATGCCGTCTGTGCTCATGAGTTAAGTCTGTCATGACAGGTCCACATGGGTAAGGATTACTTGCTGGCTTTCATTTGAATGATATTGTAGTAGTATCTAACCTCTAAAGTACATAATACAGCAAACTCCATGTTCCCACATGAATATAGTACAAGTGACGAAGATAGCCTTTACATGAGAAAAGTGAAAAAGGAACTGAATAAAATCGTGGAGAGGTGGTCTGGACCCAGAGAGCTAACGCGACACAAAGAGGGAGAATTGTAGCATAAGTGAGAATTTAAAAGAAAAATGTATCTCCAGAGTCTGTACCTTTCTCCTTTGTTTTTTTTTTTTTTTTTTTTGGTTTTTCGAGACAGGGTTTCTCTGTGTAGCTTTGTGCCTTTCCTGGAACTCACTTGGTAGCCCAGGCTGGCCTCAAACTCACAGAGATCCGCCTGGCTCTGCCTCCTGAGTGCTGGGATTAAAGGCGTGCACCACCACCGCCCGGCTGAGTCTGTACCTTTCTATTCCATATCAGTTTGCATTGCTTTCTAGATTTAATGACAAAAGCTTATAAAGAAAATTTAGCAATCCCACATCACACTGTCAGATCGGTTCTTTTGATTAAAATTGGATATGTTTTTTATTTAAGTAAGTAAGTTTAGTGACAAAACCATCAACCAATGAATGTGAGAATGTGGTGTTTGGTACTGTCGACCTCATGATGGTCGATGCACTGACGGGTCTCCCAGGCAGTTGTCCGGTGGCTTTGTGAGTGGTGGCGGTTCTGTATCTTTTGGAATTCCATTTCTGGAACTTTCATTGGATCAACCATTAAATTAACCCTCAGTGATATATATGCCAAAGTCATCCCCTGAAAATGCTCAAACCAAGATCCTTAAAGGGAACTTTTATTTATCTTCACATATTATTTATGAATGTTTCTAGAATGTACAGGTTATCTTCTGCAGCCTGTATAGTGTGCTAACGTACAGTGTACTATTCCTTAGCCCCTGTGTGACTGGACGTGCTCACTGATAATAGTCCTTCTCCTTACTAGAGATGATTTGAAATGTTAGCTAAACACAGTGTTTATAAGTGCTGAGATTAGGGTTAAAGAACAAAAATAAGCCAAAACTTGAATAAGATTTATGCTGTAGTTTTACATTAACATTTATCATCTTTCTTCATGGAACAAGTTGGGATGCATAGCTTATTCCAAAGATCAAAACACTGGTCTAGAAATAAGACATTGAAATTTAATGGAGAAATCCTGCGTGGTGATCAAAACCCCATCTTAATCAGTGTCCTTGTCAGGGTTTCTATTGCTGTAAAGAGACACCATGACCACTGCAACTCTTATAAAGGAAAAACATTTAATTGAGGAGGCAGCTTACAGTTTCAGAGGTTCAGTCCGTTTTCATCATGGTGGAACATGGCGGCATGCAGGCAGACATGGTGCTGGAAAGGTGACTGATGATATTCAAACTACCGCAATCAAGAAATGAGGAAATGAGTTTATATGGTCAAGAGCTTGATGATCAGACAGTGTGCTGATGCTTAAAAGCTCAGTTCAGACCAGTTCAGGCAGCACAAAATTCTCCCTTCATGCCACTTTCCACACATCATGTATTTGTGTCTCATTCTTCAACTTCTCTGATATAAGGCATGCGTACATTTAACACAGCAAGTAATACAAATTTGGAAATACTTGAGTAAAATGGGACTAGTCATCCTGACACTTGGTTGATGGAAAGAGTTCCTTAGAGCATCATAAAGGACAAAATATGAGGACTGGAGAGATGGCTCAATGGTTAAGAGCACTGCCTGCTCTTCCAGAGAACCTGGGTTCAATTCCCAGCACCTACATGGCAGCTCACAACTGTCTGTAACTCCAGTTCCAGGGGATCTAACACCCTCACACAGACACACATGCAGGCAGAACTCCAGTGCACATAAAAATAAATCAATCTTAAAAAGAAGTTTAAAAAGAACAGAATATGATTTATTTCATCATCAGAATTATTTTGAAGTGCTATAGGAAAACTTGATAGAGTTTCTATTTTTAAATCAGATTCTTCAGTAGAGACTACTGATATTTCACCCAAGTGTGATTTAGGAACATGTCTCTCCAGGGTGGTCACTTGGATACAGCCCAGTATACAGCACTTTGAAAGTCTGGTTTATGCCAAAGGAAGACTTTGGAGCAGGGCTTCTCCAGGTGTCAGCCAGGGCCTGCACACACTGCCAGCCTCCTGTTCCTGGGCTCTCCAACAGATGACACAGAAGCTGAGACTGTGAAAGAGACTGGGCAGCTGCTTTCAGGCCACTGCTGTGACAGTTTCATTATTTCTAACAATTTGCTTTGTGTGTGCGTGTGTGTGCATGTGTGTGCCACAACACACACCTGTGCGGGTCAGAGCATAGTTTGCAGGAGTTGGAACTCTCCTTCTACCATATGGTCTCAAGAATCAAACTCTGGTCATCAGGCTTGGTGGGAAGAACTTATATCCACTGAAGCATCTCACTGGACCCTTTATTTTCTTTTAGATTTTACAAAATTACAGGCAATAATGGATTGAAACTTAAAAACAAACAAACCCAAAACTCAAGTTCTTCCCTGAGGTGTCTTGAAAATCACTCACTGTTCAGAGTGCCTAATAATGAATGAACTGCACACTCCTCAGAAAACATCTATAGTGATTTTTTTCTTAGTTATTTTTTCTTTAGCTTTTAAAATTTGTTGAGGATCAGAGTCCAAAATTACACTCCCTAAAATGACCTGGATTGTTACTCTGTTCTTATCACCATAAAGCTTTCGCTATGAACCCTGGGCAGATCCATGTGCATTAAGGGGCAGATCATGTATAGCAATGGGCAGATCCATGTGCATTAATGGGCAGATCTGTGTGCATTAATGGGCAGATATGCTGCATTAGGAGCTGAGCTGTGCCCTTGAGGCTCCCATGTCTCCATTCAGGTAAGACAAAAGTACCCCTGCCCAGGGTACAAGCACCCCACAGAGTACTGGCATATTCATTACCTGGACTCAGTATTCGAGCCTGCAAATTCTCATGTAAGATGTGACCACCCCCTTCCTTAGCCCTTAAAAGCCCTCAGTTTGTATCTCTAGTTTAGTAGTACCACTTCCTGACAGAACTCCAGGCTAAGCTGGTTGCAAACCTTATAACCAAGGTAAACTGGGTCATGCTGTAAACATAAAGCTCTGAAATTAGAAACCAGTTTTCTGACATAGTAACTTTGGCTTAGAAAAATTACTCTGTATACATCCTTCCAGGCAACAGTGAAGTATCGGGGTGATTGATGACATTTACTTACTCCAGTAGGTCTCAAATAACCCCATAAGGTAGATTCTATTACACCCCACCTTTTCTGATAAAGACACATAGGCTCATAATACTTGACTAACTCCTCCAAAATGACTTGGCTGATTCGTGACATACCTGAGCTCTGTCAGCAGCTTCAAGCCATGGCCTCACCCCCTGTAGTATTTTCCCCACTGTCTGCCTGTCTCTCTAATAGGAAAATATTCCTGTGCCTCATTATTATCCAGTCATGGACATTTGAACAGAGATGAGCTAGAGCAGACCCCTTGTCAAACAGAGCCGAATTGGCACACACCCTTTATCTCACGGCCACTGTACACTTCCATCTGAAGGCGTTCTGAGCGCTGACTCCTATTCCAGGCAGCCTGTTGGCAACATTTGGATAAACTGGAGCACATCTAGAGGTAGGATAGGAAGCAGGGAAGGGTCCTGAGAACCCTGTCCTGAGAAAGCTTGTGAAGGGTCCTGATTTCCTCAGTTTACAGGGAAGCTGAAGAAAGCATGTAGTGGATTGGAAGGTTTGCTTGTTTTGTTTTGTTTTTAAAAAAGATTAGCCTTGCTGTGTGTAGTGTCAGAAGAGAAAGCAGGGAAAGGCCTGGGGGTAAGAACCAGCAACTCTGGCTCAGCCTGTCCCTTTGTAAAATTGCTTTTTAAAGGAAGCACTGCAGTTTTTAGGGAGCATGCTGAAAGTGTTGTATATAATCTCATGACCTTCACAGCAACCCAGTGGGAATGTGTCTACTCACATGCCAAAGCACTGAGGTTTGGAACGATTGAAGAAGTGGTATATGCTGGAGTCAGAATCTGAACCCATTCTGTGGCAAAGAGCCTGGCTGTCTTCCCCCGGGGTCCTGCAGGAGTCACCTGCCTTGTGCTAAACAGTTGAAGCAGAAAATGATAATCAAATATACAGACACACCCTATTGAAGGAGTTCTAGGTAGAGGCTTCTTAGATCCCTGGAAGTTCTAGCATCTGGTCCTTCAGATAAGCACATTGCTGAGAAGGTGGGTTCACCTTTCCCCAGCCTCTCAGCCTTGACCCCACAGCAGCAGCAGCAGCAGCATTTACACCGACTTCCTCAGTGCTTTCCTTTAACTTGAAGAAAAGAACACATTCTGCTGTAACACTCACTAGAGATCAGCGTTGTCACATTCCTAAGGAACCACGAGTCTTCCATGGTGTAAGAGTATCCATGTGACCCACCCCATAGGTGTAAGAGACAATGGCTAGTGAGACCCAGAGAATTCCCCTTACTAGGCAGCTAATCGACTGTAACTGAGTTGGAATCAAAAATTTTAAATTAGACTCATGTGACAATATTGCCTTTATCTCAATACTTCTCAAAATTTTCTCCTAAAGGGTATCTGATGGCCAGAGAGAAAGGATGTCTTATGTTCTGGCGACTCTAGACAGCATTTCAGGGGAGGCTTCCACCATTGTGGGCGTCTCTGACTTCACACTGCTTTTCCTGCCAGTTCACACAAATGTTGGATTTAACCAAATTAATCTGTTTGAACATAAAAACAAAGTTTTACCATACCCACTAGCATGAGAAATTAAGCTGATGCCTTGGTTCCCAGTCCCTACAAGAGATCCTGGTCTCTGGGGGAAAGTTGGTGGTTACAAATGCTTCTATTAAGGGTTTCCTCCTCATAAGGGAAAGATTTTTCCAATGGAGCTGTAAGGACGTGGGAATTTTTATCAATCAAGGACATGCATGCTTGTTAAGTCTGAGGGGAGATTACATTTATTTTTCTTTCCTCTAACATTAATTTTTTCTACAAATGCTTGTGTGGAGTCTCAACATTACACAGATTGATGAAATAGGATAAGAAAAAGTTACTCAAAAGAGTAGACCGATTCTTTTTGATATTTGAGCATTATTGGAAGTTACAGAGCATGGCAGAAATGCTGTGCACATGTTAAGAAGGGTCCCTGCTTGGCTAGCACACCATTCAGAGGAAGGTTCTACTTCACATGTTTTTAACATTTCTGTAGCTTTTGAACTTGAAATAATGCTGTAAATAAATAAATAGTGACATGGGCACACAGGGGAGTCCTGTTTTTTTTTTTTTTTTTTTAAATTGCTATGTCTTATTGTGTGGCAGTGTGGAAATGTACGACTCACTGAATCTGTTTTGTTGTTTAGGAGAGAAGCCATATGAATGCCCAAACTGCAAGAAACGTTTTTCCCATTCTGGTTCCTATAGCTCACACATAAGCAGTAAGAAGTGTATTAGCTTGATGCCTGTGAATGGGAGGCCCAGATCAGGACTCAAAACATCACAGTGTTCCTCGCCATCTCTTTCGGCATCGCCAGGCAGCCCCACACGCCCACAGCTACGACAGAAGATAGAGAATAAACCCCTTCAAGAACCGCTTTCTGTAAACCAAATCAAAACTGAACCTGTGGATTATGAGTTCAAACCCATAGTGGTTGCTTCAGGAATCAACTGTTCAACCCCTTTACAAAACGGGGTTTTCAGCGGTGGTGGCCAATTGCAGGCAACCAGTTCTCCTCAGGGCGTGGTGCAAGCCGTTGTTCTGCCAACGGTTGGTTTGGTGTCTCCCATAAGTATCAATTTAAGTGACATTCAGAATGTACTTAAAGTGGCGGTAGATGGTAACGTAATACGGCAAGTTTTGGAGAATAATCAAGCCAGTCTTGCATCCAAAGAGCAAGAAGCAGTCAGTGCTTCATCCATCCAACAGGGTGGCCACTCTGTGATTTCTGCCATCAGTCTTCCTTTAGTTGATCAAGATGGAACAACCAAAATTATCATCAACTACAGTCTTGAGCAGCCTAGCCAACTTCAGGTTGTTCCTCAGAATTTAAAGAAAGAAAACCCAGCCCCTACAAACAGCTGCAAAAGTGAGAAGTTACCAGAAGATCTCACTGTTAAGTCAGAGAAGGACAAAAGCTTTGATGGGGCTGTGGACGATAGCACTTGCCTTCTGTGTGATGATTGCCCAGGAGACCTCAATGCACTTCCAGAACTAAAGCACTATAACCCAGAGCACCCTGCCCAGCCTCCACCCCCTGCCCCAGAAGCCGAGAAGCCAGAGTCCTCTGCTTCATCAGCCAGAGATGGCGATTTGTCTCCCAGTCAGCCACCTTTAAAGAACCTCCTGTCGCTCTTAAAAGCCTACTATGCTCTGAACGCTCAGCCAAGCGCCGAAGAGCTCTCAAAGATCGCCGATTCTGTGAACTTACCACTAGAGGTAGTCAAAAAGTGGTTTGAAAAGATGCAAGCTGGACAGATTCCGGGCCAGTCTCCTGAACCACCTTCTCCAGAAACAGGCACAGTCAACATCCCTGCAAAGAGCGATGAACAGCCTCAACCTGCAGATGGAAGTGAGCCCCAGGAAGACAGCACAAGTGGACAGAGTCCTCTCAAGATGACTAGCTCCCCGGTTCTGCCAGTAGGATCAGCCATTAATGGTTCCAGAAGTTGCACATCATCCCCTTCACCTCTAAACCTTTCCTCGGCCAGGAACCTGCAGGGTTACTCTGGCGTGGCAGACGGTGCCCAGGAGGAGCCCCAAGTAGAACCTCTTGACCTCTCACTACCAAAGCAACAGGGAGAGTTACTGGAAAGGTCGACTATCAGTAGTGTTTACCAGAACAGTGTTTATTCTGTCCAGGAAGAACCCTTGAACTTGTCTTGTGCAAAAAAGGAGCCACAAAAGGACAGCTGTGTTACAGACTCAGAACCAGTTGTAAATGTAATCCCACCAAGTGCCAACCCCATAAATATTGCTATTCCTACAGTCACTGCCCAGTTACCCACAATCGTGGCCATTGCCGACCAGAACAGTGTTCCCTGCTTACGTGCACTCGCTGCCAACAAGCAGACTATTCTGATTCCCCAGGTGGCTTATACATACTCGGCTACAGTCGGCCCTGCAATGCAGGAACCACCGGTGAAGGTAATCCAGCCAAACGGAAACCAGGTTAGTAAAGTACTAGCTAATTTCTTCTAGTGAGGTAACCTCCATCCACTGTAGAGTTAACCAGATTGGTACAATTGTTACGTTTAAAAGGAACTTAACCAGTTTGCTTTCCTTGTGTGGCAGAATGCCTTCCTTTGCCTACTAATCTGAGGTGGAGGCATCAACTATAGTTGAAAGTGTCTTCTCCTCTGAATAACAGTATATACACTTCAGCTGGGGACATACTTGAATGAAGCCTAAGAGAAAAGTTGTAATACTCATTGATTAGGTTTCTGGTTTTCTAGTTAACTTCTCATATTGGTAAGTTTCTACTTTGCTTATGATCATTAGTAAACAATTGTGTTCCCATCTACCATAAAACACCAGGAAGGCTTTGCTGGTACAGCGTGTGCCAACGCCTTTGTTAAGAGGTTTTGATGAAACAGAGTATGCTGGGAACTTAGCTCATGCATTTGTGGGTTGTGAATTGAGTGTTTGGTCATAATTATGGTGGGGTCCAGCTGCGGCCCGGGTGTGCATTCCCCTCTTTAGAGGGGTTCTGCTTGGCTTGCTTGGTTTTGGATAGAACTCTACCGTATGGCTGTATGTTTCTCAAAGTCTGTCCAGTCATGTCACTAGCCTTGATGTCACCACTTTTTCATCAGTTTCTTTAACTGAATCAGATACCAGAGGTGGCTGTTTGATCTTATGAGTACAGCTGCACTTACTTCCAGATCCTGCTCAGATGCACCTGCTGCCTGTGGTGCCCTTCAATACTGCTGCCCTTGGGCTTCCCCAGAACTGTAGTAACTCCTGAAGAAAATGTCCACGGAACCAATGACACTAGATTTCTGATGTATAAAAACACTAGTGTGTGTGTGTGTGTGTGTGTGTGTGTGTGTGTGTGTGTGTGTGTGTGTGTGTAATGTATACTTCTGTATGTACAGGTGTGTCTACCCATGAGTGTGCATGTAGAGGCCAGGGATTGACAATGACTGTCTTCTTCAGTCACTCTATAATGTTTGAGACAGGTTCTCTCACTGTACCTGGAGCCTACCATTTTGTCTAGACTGGCTAGCAGTGAGTCTCCACTATCTGTTTGTCTACACACATTCACATATACCCCAGTGCTGGGATTACAGATGAGCGTCACACATGCCTGGCTTTTACATGTGTGCTAGGGATCTGAACTCAAGTCCTTATGCTCGTATAGCAAACATCCTCCCCACTTAGCCATCTTCCAGCCCTTCTTGACACGTTGGAATTTAAAGAAAACAGAGCTTTGACCATTTCAGATGACTGTTTGACTATGTCAGAGAGCTGTGAAGGGGACTCACTTCTGTACCAGCGGCCACAGTGACAGGACATCAGTGGGTTAAGGCAGCACTCTGGGAGACTTTAGGAAAAACACAAATCTTAGCTGACCTAAGTCTGCAACAGGCTCTCTGCAGGGTTATTCCATTGAGAAGAGTGCCTTCCTCCTAAAACGGCTTCCCTGAAACTGTCTGAAGTACTGTGTTGTCTTTTGTTCATTTTGGAGAATTGTAAGGGTTCTTTTTGACAGGCAGCTACTACTATTTAAAAACCACAGACCTGCTGGGCGGTGGTGGCGCACGCCTTTAATCCCAGCACTTGGGAGGCAGAGCCAGGCGGATCTCTGTGAGTTCGAGGCCAGCCTGGGCTACCAAGTGAGTTCCAGGAAAGGCGCAAAGCTACACAGAGAAACCCTGTCTCGAAAAACCAAAAAAAAAAAAAAAAAAAAAAAAAAACCACAGACCTTCTCACACTGCTCCTCCTCATTCCAGAGAAAATGTGAACTAAAGCAAACCTGTCTTTGTCAGACCAAGACAGCTGGTGCAAACCCCCAGAGTGGAGGGCACAGTTTAAAGACATTTCTAAACACTGTGTCTTAATATTTACTTAGTGAAACCCAGAATCTGTTATTAAAAGTATGGTAAATGATGAAGTTGTAAATGAATGATGAATTCCAAGCTCCGTGATTAAACCTTTCTGCAAAATTGCTGTAAATTCATAATTTGCCAGAACCAAGTAACTATGGCTACTGTCCTTCTTACCAGTTGAAGAAATGTTTTCACCATGATTGTTCCTGTGCTGTCCCCAGCCCCACTTCTGTCTCCCAGTGATCCGGGAGCCCATCTGCCGTGTCACTGTAGTGTGTCCTTCCTGTGGTCAGCGTGAGGGAAGCCACCCTCTAACATGAGGCTCACCTCCCATACATTGTCTGATTTTCCTACACTTACTTATTTATGGACAGTGGGGGGCAGAGCTTCACATGCCACTACTCAGACATGGCAGTCAGAGGACACCTGTGGAAGCCAGTTCTCTCCTTCCACCTTGTGGATCCCAGGGATCCAACTTGGGTCATCAGCCTTGATGACAAGTGCCTCTACCTGCTGAGCCGTCTCACTGACCCTATCTCTTGTGTGTCTTTTAATTTGAAATTTAATCTTTTTTTCTCCCCCTCAGGATGAAAGGCAAGACACTAGCTCAGAAGGAGTCTCCACCGTGGAGGACCAGAACGACTCTGACTCTACACCACCCAAAAAGAAAACTCGGAAGACAGAGAATGGAATGTATGCGTGTGACCTGTGTGACAAGATATTTCAGAAGAGTAGCTCACTGTTGAGACACAAATATGAACACACAGGTATGTCAGTGGACACGAGCACATGGTTCAGTTCAGCTTCTGCCGTGGTAACTGTGGGGACAGTGGGCTGAGGTGACGGGGAGAGGGCCCAGCTTCAGGGGGCAGCTGTTCCGGGAGCGCCAGCCATCCTGGCTAAAGGCTTGCCTCCTGACCACCTGAAGGTTTTTAAATTAAGATCTTTGCTTTTTAGAAAGAACTTCTGCATAAGAGGCTGAACTTGATTTTAAGATCCCTTCAGCTCTGAGATTCTGTAATTCTGCACAAAATACCCAAGCCCTGGGCTCGTCTAGGGACTGGCAAACAGTGTCTTACAGACCACACAAGGCTCCACTCATCTCTCTAATGCCTGTGAGCCAAGAACGGACTTTTCATTTTTAGTGATTGAAGAAGATAAAAGGTAAAAATCGAAATCCAGCATCCTAGCTGATGTTTTATCCCTCTCAGTCACATCCCTCACTTGCTTGTTGCCCAAGGATGCTTTTCTGCTCCGGCCAATGATAAATTTGAGTGATTGCAGTAGGTACAAAGGCCAGCCAATCCCAAGACGCTTCCCTAAAGGGCTTTTACAGAAAACCCTTGCCAATCTGGCCTTCCCAGTTCCCTCTCTCCAGAGCCACACTGGTCAATTTCAGTACGTGTATCTCTGAAGCCCGGGAAATCCAGTTAAGAAGTATGTGCAGACCCCTGTGGCCTGAGAACTCCCTCCATGACTGACCTCCAGCTTGAATTGCTTTCAGAAAACTCACAGAATTCTGATATAAACTATCAGACTCCAAGCTGATAAAAGCTGCACAGCCAGCCAGTTTCTCTCCAACAAGATGGCTGGATGAAGGACTGGTTTAATCTTAAACTCTAATCCCCAGTCTCTTTTCCCTGGCCCTTAACAGCTGTTTTAGCTAGTGTCCACATACATGCCTCTCATGTGCTTATCAACTGTGTTAGCTCATTCACTCTGGTGAGAAGAAACACAGAGACGTGTTCTTTCTTTTTCCATCTGTATGTTGCAGTGTGACTGACACCTTGGCAGTTGTTGGAGTTAAAAGGTAGCACCAGGTAGGAAAACCTGGGCCTCTAACAAGGCCTTGGACCACAGCCCTCTGTATATAGTTATTTTCACTGAGAGAATTAGAAAATGTCCTTATTCTTTAAAAAGAGTTAAATACTGGCAAATAGCAAAATTAAAATTACGTCCTAGCTGTGCAAAGAGACATCAAGTCATTTCTGCATTTGAAGGGCTGACTGCCTCGTGACATTGGAGTTGTTCATGGCCAGTCCCTGTTACGGGCCAGCTGCTGCTGTCCGTGTCTGCAGTGGTGCTCCAGCTCACGCCCACTCACCAGGAGCAAGATGGCCTCTAGGCAAAAGCCAGTTTCCTGGGGTCAAAGCAATCTTAGATATTACAATTTCTAAAGAACTTCAGTACATAAACTGTATATTTATGTGAATTTGGTCATAAGTAAAGAAATATATGAGACATTAAAATACCATTGGAAACAGGGCTTTCCAGCCTCCGGTGCTTACCACCCATGGCTCATGAGAGCCTCACTTAATGTTCTGCCATGTGGTCCTGATGAATGTATTTTTGGCATTTCAGCCTTATGTAATTCCCACTGACCTCCTCTACAAAGTACAGTGTGTAGCCTTGAATTTTCACATATTAAAGATAAGCCATAGTGTTATAAGTACAGTTGGGGACCTGCTAGTTTCTTAAGCATGAAACTGTAACTGTCCCCTTTCCACAACCTGAATGTCCCTTAATGCTCACAAGCTCTTTTATTTCCTTATGCCACTGTTTTGTTTCATATCTGTGTTCTAACCTTACAGGTAAAAGACCTCATGAGTGTGGCATCTGTAAAAAGGCATTTAAACACAAACATCATCTGATTGAACACATGCGATTACATTCTGGAGAAAAGCCCTATCAATGTGACAAGTGTGGCAAGCGCTTCTCACACTCGGGATCCTATTCTCAGCACATGAATCACCGCTACTCCTACTGCAAGAGAGAGGCTGAAGAGAGAGGGAGCACGGAGCAGGAGCAGGAAGAGGCTGGACCGGAAGTCCTGATGAGTGAGCATGCTGGTGCCCAGGCATCTCCCTCCCAGGCTGACTCAGATGAGAGAGAAAGTTTGACAAGGGAAGAGGACGAAGACAGTGAAAAGGAGGAAGAGGAGGAGGAGGATAAAGAGATGGAAGAATTGCAGGAAGAAAAGGAATGTGAAAACCCACAGGGTGAGGAGGAAGAGGAGGAAGAGGAAGAGGAGGAAGAAGAGGAGGAAGTGGATGAAGCTGAGCATGAGGCAGCAGCCAAGACTGACGGTGCAATGGAGGATGGAGCTGCCCAGCAGGCAGGCAGCTTAGAACAGAAGGCGAACGAGAGTAGCGAGCGACTGTCGGAAGAGAAGACAAACGAAGCCTAGGAGTTCTAGAAGGAAATTCTACTTGGTAATGAAATTTGCTCTATATTACCCACGCTTTTCATGGAAACACGGCCCCTGTGCTGTGGTTCCTGCTCACTACTGTGTAATGTCAGAACTGAAAAAAAAAACAAAATACAAAAAAAAAAAAAAAAAATCCGGGTGTGCCTGAACCTCAGACCTAGTAATTTTTCATGCAGTTTTCAAAGTTAGGAACAAGTTTGTAACATGAAGCAGATTAGAAAACGTCAATGACTCAGAGAACAGAGGTTTCTTAGCAGGTTACAGGAAGCTGGATGAGCATCTGGCATGTTATCAGTATTATCACTCTTACGTTGGTTCATTCTTAAGCTGTACAATGGGAGAAATTTTATAATTTTTTATTGGTAAACATATGCTAAATCCGCTTCAGTATTTTATTATGTTTTTTTAAAATGTGAGAACTTCTGCACTACAGAATTCCCTTCACAGAGCAGTAGAAAGCAGTTCCAACCGTGCTGACTACCTGTTACCAAGTCAGTCAGGAGGTAGGACCTCTACGTTAGACGCCATGTTGTCATTTAACATGTATTGCTAGCCTTAAGGAAGCAGCCGAGAGAAGAACTGAAGTTTCTTACTCATGTGATTTGAAATGGAGTTCAAAGGTTGTCGTTGAGTTCTGACTGCAGGGACGAACAGTGTGGAGGACGGCAGAGTCGGCAGAATCAGTGTTGGTGATTGTGTTTGCGTACGTGGGAGCAACTATGAAGGATCTCTAGGAAGCAAGCGTTGGGTCTCCTTTGGCCTTAAGCAAGACCTGTGTGCTGTAAGTGCCATTCCCAGTATTTCAAGGCTCTAACTGCCTTCATTCAGTGTGTGGCCTACAATAACTAGCATTTGTTGATTTGTTTGATGTTTCAAAATTCCCAAATAAAACTCAAAACCACTGACTGTCAGAGAAACTGAAGCACTGGGACATTTCATACTTTGGTTCCTCAGTATTCATTTTACGTTGATTGACTTTCAGAAATCTCTACAGAAACAAAAGGGAAATTCTCTAAACTACTTCATCCATGTACTTGCGTGTCAGACATGGATAAGCCATTGGTAATTTGGCTCACAACCGTTTCCAAATGTTAGTTATTACGGACCCAGTTGATGAACAACATTAGCTGATTTTTACCTATCAGTATTATTTTCTTTCTTTTAGTTTATAGATCTGTGCAACATTTTGTACTGTACGTCTTCAAGCCTGGCAGTATTAATACCCTTCTTACTGACACGTACTTTTAGTTTTAGAAAACTTTTATATTTATGTGTCTTATTTTTATATTTCTTTATTTATTACACAGTGTAGTGTATAATACTGTAGTTTGTATTAATACAATAATATATTTTAGTATGAAATTTTGGAAAGTTGATAAGATTTAAAGTAGAGATGCAATTGGTTCTCGTGCATTGGGATTTGATTTAACAGTGTTCTGTTAACATTTATACTCGCCTTGGGCTGTAGAGCAGAGTTTAAATGGGAATGTATTAGTTTTACAACTACAATCAAGTCATCCTCCCTTTACCCGGTTTTTAATATGAAACTCTTACACTTTGAAATTCACTGTGTGACTCATAGCATGACGCTCTGCAGTTCTTCTGTTAAGAGTTAGCCCCGCCATAACTCATCCCTTAGCAAGCCAAATTAGAATTGCCTTCTGTAAACAGTGTTGGGAACAATGTTTAACATGTTGTGCCAATTTGTTCCTGTCTCCATGTATGTAAGCTACCGATCCGACTCTTCCTTTTAAGTTCCTTGTTACACCATGGTCATTTTCTAGTTTTTTACCAGACTCCCCAGCTCACAATAAAATGCATCAACAAGCCTGACGCGCTCTCATTCTTTGGATCATTGTCAAGATTTTCTTTGGAAAATTGTCTATGAAATGGGCATTGCATCCCAGAGCTTCATTCATCTTGAGCTGAGTTTGTTGACACTAAGTACCTTAGACATTTAGCATGAAGTTTGCCTTTTCCTGTGGGGAAATGGCCCCGGGGAAGCCCTCTGCAGGGGTCACCCCTTCCGGAACCCTCCACCCACATCCCAGGAGGCCTTACCCTTAGGGTACTTCAGGGATGTCTGAGTTTAGATGCCTTTTGCTTGCACTCTGCTGAGTTTTGTACCCTCCTCATCAGCTCCTGTACTGTCCCTGGTATCCCTTCCCTCTGTCACGGTCACCCCCAGGTGCCCACTGCCCAGCAGACTGCCTCTCACTTGTTGCTACAACAGCTGTTCATTGGATGGTGTAGAGGCTGCATGTTGCTAGAGCCCGGCCGCACTCACATCTGAGAATCCATATGGTAAATGATTCCCATAAGCTGCCAGTGGGCTTATTTGAGTTATTAGGCACTCGGCATAGGAGATAAAACAAATTACTGCCTTTTCAGCTGCTCTGTTATGATCTGTGGAGAGCTTATTTCTAGGTGTCTTTCTGGTGCTCAGTTTCATGGTGTATGGTACAGACATTGGAAGCTGAAGGTGGAACTACCTCAAACTTGATAGACCCAATTCTGAAGTAACTTCCCGTGTCAAAGCTGCACATTCCCATGTGCTCCCCATCTTCCTGTGCCAGGGCCCTACTTCCCATGTCCTTCGTCATCAGGCTGCCTGATTTCCTCTGTCCCTAACACAAAACTCCATAAACAAACATACTGTAAAAGGTTATTAAATACTAAGTTGCCGTTCTGAGGGGGTGTCCAGTAGTCATGAAGGTAAAGCTTGGAGAGGACAGTGCATTAGCCATGTGGCTAAAGGGCCAGTGAGGAAGGACATCGTAACTAGGCATTATCAAGGAGCAGTTCTTCCCACTGCTCCCTCACAGTGTGAAAAAGCAGCAGCCATGCCCTCAGATGCATCTGCCTTGCTGCCTTTATCAAGAGTATTTTTCCACTGAGCCTTAAAAATACACAGAAAAGCCATATGCCCGTGACCACATGCACAGTAAGTAGAATGAGGCTCTGCACACAGGCCTGTCTGGCTTCAAGGTTCATGCCTCTGCCCAACCTGCATCACATTTCGTGTTGAAATGGATTCTCCTGGCCACATAGAAACTTAGGCCCAGCCCCAGACAAGAGGAATAAAAAACACCCCTAAAACTATACACAACCTGACAGAGTTGAAGGTGGAGGGAGACGTAGGATTTTCCTCAATCTCGATGCAAACTTAAAAGACAGCCTTGGGGGTAAAGCACTTTGAAAGGGGTCAAGTTGACAGAGAAATCTCATGGATTTCACCTGAGATCATTGGAAAGCTGTATTAGGACGATCATGTATTAACTCTGTCTCAGAACATCAGACCTTCAGAAGCACCTCTGCTCAGAGAAGAAAAATTCACCCCAATAACACCTGGGCCATTTATGGGGAAAAAACATTATAGGGCCCAACAGAACTCTCACATTTGAGACAATTGGAACAGAAGGTTCCCCTAACTACTCAGGGGGTCAAAAGCACTTGCCAAGAACTCCTGGTGACCTGAGTTCCATCCCCAGTACCCACAGTGGAAGGAAAAAAAATGTCCTCTGAACACCATATGTATGCCATGTGCACATGCACACACACACACACACACACACACACACACACGAAGAATCATATAAATGTTTAAACTATATGCTAGTAATAAATGCATTTTAAGATCTCCCAAATTAATACAAAGCCATATCAAGTTGTTCCTGATGGGAAACATGATTCTCAAATGATGATGTCTTACGTCAAAACTTGTAGCATAAAGTTAAAGTGATATATGCAAGAAAACGCAGTGTTAAATGCTGACAACAGAAAGGAATAAAGGACTCACTCATCTAAGTTTCCACCTCAAACCATCAAAGGAAAAAACATGAACAAAGCAGGAGAGAGCCAATAATAAGGAAAAGAGAAAACAAAGATAAAAAGCTGTGTAAACCAAGTCAGCCTTTGAAAAGATAGATTTCTAGCCATACAGACCAAGGAAGACAGAAGAGACATAAATTGCCAATCTTGAGAAAGAAATGAGGCAGTCTCCAGACCCTACAGAGGAAGATAAGGAAGTAATAACTCCATATCTACATATCTGACAGCTTAGATGAAAGTGACACCCTTCTTAGAAGGCCCTAATTACCAAAGCTCATTCATAAATAACCTAAGTGATATTAAAAAAATCAAATTGATAGCTAAAAACCTCCCTCCAGAGGAAATTCAGACCAGATGGTGCCACTGGTGAATTCTTTCATACATTTAAGAAGTTTGTAACAATTCTTCACAGGTCATCTCCTTCCTCAAGTGCCTGTGAAGCTCAGATAACCAACAATGGTATTTCAAATCAAGAGCTACAGACTTAAGTTCCAAAAAAGGATGCAGAGACCTAACTGAATGTTAGAAACTTACTTTGAACACTTTATCAAAAGGAAAATATATTGTGATTAAATGGGATTTTCCCTAGAATATCAAGATTTGTGAAGCATCCAAAAGCCATGTAGTGTAACTCCCATTAACAATAAGATTGATGGAGTGGGGCTATGTGTTTATCTTAGTAGGGGTAGGAAAAACATGGACAAAACTTAACACCAAGTCACAAATTACCAGCAGTTAGAAATGGGAGGTGACCACTGTAATAATTGGCATCTTCAAAACCTTCACAAGTAAAACACTCAGTGTAAAAGAAACACCTTCCTGTGGATGAGGAGCAAGACCAGAATGCCACTCTCATGCTCGCTAAACCTCAAGCGGGGTTGTGTCCTTTACATACAGACTGCAGGAGCTTGTTGTCTCCAGGCAGCCCAGTTGTCTACTAGGAAACAAGGAATTTGGAAAGGAAAGGCAAAAAGCCATGAAAAATTCATTCATATTCTACTAAATAGTCCTAGATGTGGGAATTTACACCTAGACATGGTACCATAAAAACTAAAATATTTGGTGATGATTTAACCAAATACAAAACCTGTGCACTGAAAACTCCAAAATATTGATGAAATAATTAAAAATACAAAGAAAATGAAATTTCATGCTTATGAGTTAGAAGATGAAAGCGTATTAAGGAAAAAGTTTTATCCAACTATTGACAAAATGCTGTTATAATTTTGTGGAAGAACAAAGAACTCGGAAAATCATTTTGAAAAGAACAAATTTGAAGGGCTTGGAGTTTGTAGTTTTATAAAGCTACAATATTCAGCCGGGCGGTGGTGGCGCATGCCTTTAATCCCAGCACTCGGGAGGCAGAGCCAGGCGGATCTCTGTGAGTTCGAGGCCAGCCTGGGCTGCCAAGTGAGTTCCAGGAAAGGCGCAAAGCTACACAGAGAAACCCTGTCTCGAAAAACAAAACAAAACAAAACAAAAGCTACAATATTCAAAACAGTTTATGAGCATGAGAATGGCTATAGATGAGGAAAATGGAGTTAACACCCAGGACCCACATACACTGACACCGGGTTTTGTCAAAGGTGACAAGACAGTGCAGTGGTGAAATGTTTAAAACGTGATGCTGGGCCTGCCGGTAAGTGGTCCATTCCTGCAGTCCCAGCACTCACCCGGGAGGCTGGAGGAGGAGAAACATGAGTTTGAGGCCAGCTTGGGTTACATAGCAAGCCACTATCAAAAAAACAAAACAAAACAATGACTCTGGCATTAAGTCCTCAGGAAACGAATGTGCTCCTCACAGCATGTCCAGAAACTGATGAAAATTGGTGATAAGCCTGACTGTAAGGGCTAAGCCTTTAAAAGAATGAGAATTCCTGTGTGACCTTGAGTTAGAAAGAATCCTAGATAAGAAAAACAAAGCAGAATAAAAGCCTTTGCCCTTAAATGCTATTGAGAAAACTAAAAGTCAGACTGGGATAAAATATTTGCAGAACATACATGTATATAGTATATACTCATAAGAAATCAAAGCATGTCCACACAATAAACCTACACATGAATTCTAACAATTGTAGCTAAAAAATTGGGGGTAAAACTGAGTCATCTAGTTAACAAAATGTGTTACTTACACACAATAAAATACTGACCATGAAAAGGGATGAGATTGTAACACTTGCAATGGGCTGAATGAACCTTGAAAATGATTGAACCTGTGCTAAGTGAATGACATCACCAACAGAAGACTACACACTCTGACTCCACGTGTGACATGTCCAAAAGTAAGGAAATCTAGGCAGAGAGAAGGATCTGCGGCTGCCTTAGACTGGAAGCAGGGAAAGATGGTGATTAATTCCTGTGGGTACAGGTTTCCTTGGGGAATAACAAATGTTCTAGATTGTGGTGCTATTTGGGCAACTCTGTACTAACCCATATCACTACATTACAAATGGGTCACTGTACTGCATGAACTGTATCAATAAAGCTGCTAAAACGTGTGTGCATGTGTGCTAAGTATGGAGGAGACTAGAAACTATCTTCTAAACCATAAAGTTAGGCTAACCACAATATGCTGCTACTATACACCCAACAAAATGGGTAAACCTTTGAAGATTTGGTAACACCAAAAGTTGGTCAGGGTCTAAAGCAGCCAAACCATTTGCATATGGCTGGTGGAAATTTAAAATACCACAACCCCTCTGGAAAATTATCCATCTAGTGAAGTTCAAAACCACTCCTTGAGATCCAGCCAAGATAGCAGAAAACCTCTTGAAGGATTGTATTGCAATGCTCATAGCATTCAGGACAGCCCATCCAGACTTAGCCCAAATGTCCATTGCCAGTGATGGAAGAGACAGGTCTACCCATGCAGTGGACTCCACTCAGTTAGATGTACAATGTGAATAAAGATGAAAAGCAGAGTGTTTGGCGGAGCAGGATGCAGGGACTATACAATGGTGATACATTTTCCAAACCTCTGAACTATTTATGTTTGCACTGGG